CCTCCGTGATAGCAAACTCATCATCCAGGCACATCCATGCGTCTGCCATCTCTTGTCATCAAATTTCAAGTGTTAAGAAAAATGACACTGTTTTGGACTAAACTCCTTTACTAGGCTCTATTAGATCAGGCTAGAGATCAAAATGCAGTCACTCACATCAAAGTTCTTCCTCACCAAACTGGGACCAACCTGTTCATCTGACCTTCCAAGAAATTAGGATTACAAATTAGAATAAAGTAAAAAGGACTGGGGGTGTAGTTCAGTGATAAAGTGGTTCTCAAAGTTCAATGTGCCAAAGATGGACATGAGCAACTCATTCCAACGGAGACCTCTGGGCTTGCAACAAAACTTTCTCATTCTGTTGGCATCTGCATTTCACACTGACCTGTAGGCCAAGTGATCCTAAGAGCACACCACAGGAGACCCCGCCTACATCTCTGCTGAAACACCTTCAAGTGACAGAACACTCATGTGGGGGATCCAGTCTCTTGACAGGTCTCACTGTTGGTAGATATTTCCCCATATTCTGTTAAAGCTTTGCTCCTTGCCCCACACTTGCAGGTCTTTCTTCCACATGAGTTTGCTTCTCCCTGGTTACAGACCAGAAGCCTCCTCACTGTCCCCCCAGACCTCTGCAACACATCCACTTCTCGCTCTTTCTTCTCACTGCAACAGAGGTAGTTGGGGCAACACCATTGCCCTTACTAGTCTCTTTCCAGCTTCTTATCCTGCACTTTCCATTATTAGTTTTAATGACAGCTGAGAATGATCAATATACAGCCCTGTTTCATGACATTAATGTAAAAAAATAATAATTCTATTGGATTCTATTGCCCTTCCCCAGTGAGGGACAACTCCGGAGGATGTTTCCATGAGTTTGTTTTAGCATCAGTGGGCACCACACTGGACACACTATAAAGGCTAATTTTATGCAATAAGGAAGATAAACTTGGGTGAATTCTTATGGAAACAGAAAACTCCCCTTAAATTTTAAGCTAACACTAAACCAATTCACTTCAACGTCTGACATTAGTATCAATCTGGATAAGGAGGGCAGGACTGCCCTCTGCTGCCTGGAGATAAAATAGCGTTTAATTTTTCATAATTATTACCAAGAGTAAATTCCTTATAATAGCAGCCAAAGGAAAGCCTCACTGGATAAGTTCTAGTGTCACAAGATAGCCATACTGCACTTTGAGATGTTGGAATCCCCAAGAAGACAAATCCTGAAAAAAATGGCTTGACTTCTCAGGAAGCACATCACTTGGACTGAGGATGTAACTCAGTGGTAGAGCACTTGCTTAGCATCATGAGGTCCTGCATTCACTCTCCTGTAACATTCACACACTCACACAGGAAGAAGCCACATGCCTTCATATTTTCAAGGAAAATACATAGATGTCATTTCTCACATGTCTCACATGCCATTGCAAATCTGATCTAGTGTTCCCCTTCCTTCATCCATTCAGCCCTTTGTTCTTTCCCTCAGTCATGGTCATTCCACTTCGTGCCTGCTTCTCCTGCTCACTACCTTCCCTGTGGCACCAATCCCAACTCAGCACTTCTTTCTAGGCCACTCCTTTTATTTTCCACAGCCCTTCATTCATGATCCTTCAGACTGTTATGTGCTTCTGTTATCACACAAGGAGGTTTCCAGGAGCAGTGGCAACCTCAAGTTCTCTTGACCATGTTACAAAAAATAATTAGAGTGCATATTAACAGTAAAGTTGCAAAGGAAGAGATCACTTATGAAGAAAAAGTATAGATTTGAGATTGAGAATATGGACGACCTCAGAAACTGTTGCCTCATCTTGATCTGAGGTTTTAACATTTATGAAGGGACAGTAGCCAGGAGGTTGAACTAGAAGCAGAGTCAGGGTGGGGTTAAGCACCGGTTCTCTTGCTGGATCCTAAGGTCTAGTTTGGTTTTGTTTTCTTGAGTATGTGAATTCCTTCCCAGAGGGTTTGCAAATGCAAAATAGGCACAGAGGATCTATGTGGTCTTTGGCAAACACTTACTTGGTTTGGTGGGAGTTGGAATAGAGACAGGGAATAGAACAGAAAAGACACTGATACTTTTAGGTTGCGAAGTTGAAGGCAATTAGGGGAGAAGTGGATGTAAAGGGGATAATTCCTGCAAGAGACAGGAGCCAATGAGAAAAACAGCATTACTTTCCTCACATTACACCAGTTGACTTCTCATAACTCCACGGAAGAGTAGTACCCACATTTTATGGGTAAGGAAAGAGGCTCAGAGAAATTCTATACCCAACAAGATAGATTTATATGAGCTAAGTGTCAAAAATTACTCCTTTGAGAAGCTACTGGTCAAGAAAGGAAAAAAATAAAATAAAATAAAAAGAAGACACAGATCCAGGAAAGAGGCCCAAGAAAGGAAGAGGCAAGGCCTAATAACAAAGGTGATCTGAGCTGAGGGCTGCCATGAGCCCAGATTGAAGCAGGAGTCTAGAGGATTCTAGGAAGGATTTGTCTTGGAAGGAAAGTGGAACTAGGGCAACCTGTAGCAAAAGGTATAAAAGGTTGAAGCCATAGGATCAAAGAAAATACTTTAAAAGGAAGATAATCATTAACTACAATCACAAAGTTGTTCTAAAAAATGTAATTATAGAACACTCTGATTTATTAGAACATAGTTATGGACATAATAAGACATTTAATATGGATTTAATGAAAATTTGAGATATGACATTAGAAGTTTGGAGGAAATGGAAGGATACGAAAAGACCTCATTCTCTGAAACAGGAAGCTTATAGAGGAATTCTAAGAGTGAGGACTTAAGAGATAATATTCAGAATCTGAAACAGGTACATAGCAGCATGACTGACATTTATCGTGTTGGGAGTGAGGGTCAAAAGGACAGGAGGCTGGATTCTTTCTGAGCCTTTTTAATCACTATTTGACTTTTTTTCTTGCACAGTACTGGGTAAAAGCCCAGGCACTACCTAAGATGACACCCAGATTAATTTTTTTCTTTTTAAGGCAGAAGAGCACAAGGCTAGTCAGAGTGGAAAACGAGTCTTCTGCTTGTTAGATGCAGTGCAATATTTCGAGACACAGCCCAGAACTATGAACCAGAGTCTGCATTTTAACACTGTTTCCTGTGCCCATTTCCAGAAGCACTTGTCCAGCAGCTGTGCATCGCTGCCACAAAGGAAGGAAGGGAAGTAAGAGGAATGGCACACCAAGTTGATGGGCAGTCTGTCTACACTCATGTTGCAGGTAAGTGACTCTTTTCAACTACTCAGAACTTACCATCACTGCTCAGCACTCCTAACAAGGCTGAATGAATCTTCCTGGTGTTTCAAATTATTTTCCAAATTTCCTGCCCTAGTCATCACTTTCTTCATGATTCACTTTGAGTTTTAGCTTTCTGAGTTGCTTCATAAAATCTTTTTTACAAATTGTCACATGACATAAACACCTGCTATTATTTTCAAATCGCTCCTATTTGATTAAGAAGCCATACAACTCTTAATGGGCCACATGCTCAACAAAAGCTCAGCAATTCTTTCCTTCAGTTCTTTGTTATGTACCACAACAGAACAGATGCATACAACAGTAAAAACAAGTCTCTGCCTCCCAGGAGAAAAGAAAACAACAGAGAGATTTCTTGAAGGGGAAAACCCACAATTAAGAGATCTTCCTTAGAGTGTTCCTCTATGATCCCACTGGAGGTGAGGGCTAAGCCAAAGAGGTAATGAGACAAAGAGGAATCTGCCAACCTGCCTTACTAGGCTTTTTTTTTTTCTTGTCTTAAAAGATTTCTAAAATGTCTCTAAATGTTTCAAGGGAAATTATTACTCACATAAGGTATTTTCTGCTTCAAGTGTGAAATACGCACTGAAAACAAAACCCAGCTAAACAGTATTTGGTCTTCTGACCACATAATGTAAAAACCATTCAAAATGATCCTGTAGGCTTGGAGATGTAGCTCAGTAGTAAAGCAGCATGTATGGGGCCCTGTAATCTTTTTTTTTTTTGAATACTGAAGAAAAATTCAAACAAGGATATTGTGAATTTTAAAGAAAGAAAAATCAATACACTTTCAAAATGAATCAGAAAACTGGTATCACGAAATGCAAAATGGGGTTCATTTTTTCTTAACATACAGCAACCCTTTCAAAGGCTAAATCTTAAGGCACTCAAAAGTTTAATTAAGAAGGTTCCCCAAAACCCCTATGATTAAAGATCTTATCTCCTTTATTAAAGTGAGGATTAATCTATGCAAATTAATCTCTTTGAAGTGACCCTTGGAAACATGCAATTTGGAGATATCATACAAGATGTTGACTTCTAAAAATGATTCTAGTAAAGAGAAATTCATATATACCCACAAAGAAATTCCTATTTTGTGGGATTCTCATAATTCCCATTTACCAGTAAAAATTTCAAAAAATTACCTCTTTTGAGAGAATAGGGAATTTGTTTAACAAGATTCTATAGCCTGAAACAGAATATCCATAGATATATCCTTTACCTTAAATATTTGTGTAAATCTACTTTATTAGATTAATGGTGATTTTTAGTTCTTTTAAAAGATGCCCACTAAAAGACAAACAAAAGCTACATTCCAAAACAAGATATTTACTGTACATATAAGAAGGTAGCACCTAACTCACAACCATTTGAAAAAAGCATATACTGTAAATTTGCCTCCTCTACCCACTCTGCATCATATTTGTTATAGAATTTTCAAAATAAATACTGAATTCCACACAAAAGATCTTTTTTTTTTTTTTTTTTTGGTACCGGAGATTGAACCTAGGGGTGCTCAACCACTGAGCTACATCTCCAGGCCTTTTAAAAATATTTTATTTAGAGATAAGATCTTAGTAAGTTGCTGAGGCTGGCTTTGAACTTTTGATTTTCCTGCCTCAGCCACCTGAGCTGCTGAGATTACAGATGTATGCCACTGCACCTGGCCTGAATTATACAAATCGTTTCAGGTGTATGTGTATGTACGTGAAAGACGAGCCATCTTGAAGTTTGTTAATAATTTTTATTTTTACATCATAATCCAATCCTAGGCTTTCTTTTATCTTAATTGAATCCGAAAAAAAATTTCCAATGTATTAAATTTACAAAAAATCTTCCCATGTTATACTAAAGGATTCTTCATGTTCTACCATTGCTCAGATATTTAATGAATAAAAATAATTTAATGGGTCTCTTAATTAACTCTATCAAATACTCATTGTCAAAAACCTATCTAGGTCAAAAAAGGTTGATCCTGCAATCATCTAGGCAGACTCTGCTGAGCTACCAAGACTAAGTGTGAATTAATGTGTTCCAGATGGACTCCATTTCCACTTAGCCAGTGTGGACAAAGTTCTATGTTAAAATTCTTCTTCTGCCTGTTTGCTGCGAGATTGCTTGAGTTGCTGCAGCCGTTCAATGGTTTCAGAAACAGTACGTTCACCGTGGACCTTATTGTCTCTTGTACGGATATTAACAGTGCCACTGGTTTTCTCTTTTTCACCAACAACTAAAAGAGAAGAAACAAAGATTCATGAGACTTTGGAAGGATTAAATTTGAATGTATGAACAGAAATGATCCAAGCACCCAAAAGCCACACTGAAACTTCGTATCAAAACATACAGGTAACCATGTATATAGCTGGGCAACTGACTTAAAAAAACCAATAAATTTGCAGTACATGTAACTTCTACACTGACTGAATCCCTTAATCCAGTCAGTCAACTTAAAAATACCAGATAAAAGCAGCATGACATGAAGGAGAAGAAATTTTAGACAAACCTTTTTCTCCCCATACCAAAATTTCCCTTTGTTACCAATTGAAGGTACTGAATTATTTGTCAGAAGTAGGAGACCAGCATGCACAAAGCTGTGAGTTCAATCCCCAGGACCACAAGAAAAAAAGACTGGAAGGAACTAAATATGTTTAACCACAATTCATTTAAGTCTAAGTCTCAAGATTTGTGTAGGTTTTCCTAAAGGTTTGGCAAATTCTCTTTCTTACCTAGGATGAAGTTATACTGTGCTAATTGTGCATTTCTGATCTTCTTATTCAAGGTACAGCCTGGATCCAGATCAATGTCTGCCATGAACTTAGCATCATGGAATTGTTGTTGTACCTGTTAAACGAACACAGATTGCATCAGATCTAAAATTAGAAATTTTTTATTTGGACCTTTAAGTGAATTTATTTAACATAAGATAGATAGTCATGAAAGCATTAAAAATAAAAAGGATGCTAATAGGTATAATGAAGTACATACTACCACTTGGGTGTACATTTTAAAAAATCATTTTGCTCTTGAGATGTTTTAGAAAATCCTTAAACATCAGAAGACAATCAAATTTCATGAAAGGTACATTACAAAGGGAAAGAAATCCTTTCATAAAATATATGTCAAGATTCTAATGTAGTTTCTGGGCAATAAATTATTTAACAGCCTCCATATAAAAATACCATGTGTAGGGGTAAAAACAGTTTGCCTGAATGGTTTGTGTCAACTGGTAACTTTATTAATTTCTTGAAAATAATATGTGAGAGCTGGGGTTGTGGCTCAGTGGTAGAGCACTTGCCTAGCACAGGTGAGGCACTGGGTTCCATCCTCAGCACTACATAAAGATAAACAAATAAAGGTATTATGTCCATCTACGACTAAAAAAGTATTTTAAAAAAATTGAATGCAATTTATTTTGAAAATCTAGAATCAGGATGACTTTGATGTTATAGTATTGTTCACTGATCAACTGTTAATCATTTGAAATTCTTTAGTATGAAATTATTACTATAGCAAAACAGATTGTTCTAATCTTTAAGTGAAGTACAAATGGCTGTTTATACATTTGATACTGGGGGCATATTCATCAAATGACACTAAGCTGAAAAGAACTTTCAAATAATTAAAATTTGCATTAAAATGAAAATAATTACTTTTTGAGTCAAAACACAGCTTAAACTGTATAACTGTATTTTGCTTTTGAACTTATATATGCTAAGGTACTTGATTTCACTTTTGTTTTTAAATATTAAACACTGAAATACACAAGTGTACATAAAACACTTGAATGTCTTCTGATCATGAAGCTGAGAAAAGCTTCATGATGATATAACATATTCAGAGATGATATAACATATTCAGTTTATCACAGTGGAAAATAGCAACATCTTCCTTAAGTAACAGAAACTGTACTCATATCTTGATTTACCAAGAATGTTATGGCTTATACGAAAAAAGAAATTAAAAAAGGGATATTATGAAAATAGAAGGGAGACCAATAGAGTCAAGGAAGGGGATCAAGAGGGAAGAGGAGGGGAGGGCATGAGGAAATACTGTGGAACAAAACCTACCAAATTATGCTATGTCCATGCAGAAAATGCCACAATGAATCCTACACACACACACACACACACACACACACACACACACACAGAATTACAATATCCCACATAAATACCATAAAATCATAATGCATTATTAAAATAATAATAATAACAATAATAATAGTGATAGAAGGGAGATCAGGAGATTAGAGCAAGAGGATCATGGAGAAGAAAGAAGGCAGGGAAAGGAAGGTACTGGGTACTGAATAAGGTTGATAAAACTATGTGCACATAAAAATATGGAATAATGAATCCCACTATTATAAAGAACTATAATGCACCAACTTAAAAAAAAAAAAGTACACGGCTTATGAGATCTGAAAAGCTTAACAAATTTAAAGAGAAGTCATACTTAAGGATTACCTGTTGAGCGTATTCATCACATGTTGGCCCCACTGGAACTACCATTACCTGGCGAGGAGATAGCCAGAAAGGCCTTGAAGAAGAAGAAGAAAATAAAAATATTTAATGTGGATTTCAGCACATTTCACTATACAAGGATGGCATATTTCTAATAGTCTACTCTTTAGTATGTCTTCTTGAAATATGAAAGGTCTACTTTCAAAACTTGGCTTTTTCTTAAGTTTTTTACTAAAGACTAAGGGGAGGAGACTTGAGAAAAGAAAATGAACACTCAATAAGGAAAAGCTGTAACTGTGACTTGCATTGTTAAGCAGATAACAAAGAAAACTGATAGGGAGTGGGCCACACACTTTAATACATCACAAAACAAAGCACCATATACTGGCTGTGAGAGGGGTTAACAAAATGTTAAAATAACTGTAGAGAGATTAATTGTTCAGATTATCTTACTACTTATTTTCCATGGGGGATATAGATAGCACCCTAGTTTATTTAAGATTCTTTTGCAGGATTCATAATATAACTGATAAGAAGGAGTGATAATGGCACTGGGCTAAAAGACGATTTCGTGCTGTTGGGAGTGAGGTGCATGCCTATAAATCCTAGAGAATTGGCAGACTGAGACAGAAGGTCACAATTTGAGGCCAGCCTCAGCAAACTTAGCAAGATCCTGTCTCAAAATAAAAAAATTAAAAGGGCTGGGAATGTAGCTCAATGATATAGCATCCCTGGGTTCCGTCCCCAGCAGAGTTTTATATATATATATATATATATATATATATATATATATACACACACACACACACACACACACACACATTCATATATATAATATATATTTTATAAAATATATATATTACTATATATGTGTACATTCACACACATATATAATAATACACAGTATAGTAATACACACACATATATATACAGTATATATTAGTTGTACTGATTTACAATTTTTGTAAGATGCTATAAATTCTTTTATTCCTATGCATTAGTCATTTCGGTATTATTTAAATTTATACATATTCTCCCCATATACACACTAAAAAACAAAGAAAAACAAAACCCAACTATCTGCAATTCTCCCATCAGAACACTTCAGGTATCAAATCCTCCCGCAGCTGCAAAATAGGCCCATGTTTTCTCCATCATTCTTCCATTTCAGCCATCTTCTTATATCAGCTAAAAGGCTAGAAGAGGCATTAAATCCTACCCATTAGGCTCTTCCCAATCCACTAAAGGTTTGACAGAGAAATTGGCTGAGTACCCCTTAATTCTCTAGATGTCATATGGAGAAATGTTACCCATATTTTATGAAATATAAGTGAAAAGAAATTATCTTACATCATTGACAAGTATGAAAAATTCCTCTTAATGTCTGAACTAATCAAATTTAATTTATACTGAAATGACAGCAATATATAAGATTAAACCAATTTATAACATCATACAAAAGTTTTAAATCAAGACATCTAATTCTGCAGGTCCTATAAATGGGTGTCTGATAACTCTGTACTACTTCCAACTGCACTGTGGGCCAGATAAAATAAAATGTAGGTCAAGTGCTCATATCTTGCCAATGAAAATAATCCCTCATAGTAAGGAGTCATAACACATTGTTCCATTTAGCATGCATAATAATTTTTAATTAAAAACTGTTTGGTTTCTAAAAGATGTTAAAAACACATGCTTACTCTGATCTACAAAGCTGAATAAGGTAAGCCAAAAGCCTCTGTTTACTCAGGCAAAAAAGTAAAACCATATAAATCCCAAACAAAGTTACATTACTCAAAAAACAATTAAGACCAAATTCTGTATGCTGCCACTGCTCCTTTTCTTCCTCTAAGTGCCAGTGAATCAAACCCAGTCCTTGAGCATGAGACAAGTTTTCTACCACTGAGCTCTATCCCTAATCCCTATGTGTGCTTTTTACTGAATAACTGCTAATTAGAAACATTTAAACATATCAAATTCTGAAAAATAAATACTAATAACAAGGTTTTTGTTGTTGTTGTTGTTTTTTTATGGTGGGATTTGAACTGGAGATTTTCCACCGAGGTACTATACCTCCAGACCTAACAAATATTCTTCATGATAAAAAGTTTGAGTTATGATTATAATTTCTTACTTTTAGTGAACACTTGTCGTTATACTACAAATGATCAAACAAATCATTCTCCCTTCCCATTTCATACCTATACTGAAAAGTAGATTATTTCTAGGCAATTTACATTAATTAGCAAAAACAAAAGAAAACAGACAAAAATTACCATTTGCCCCCATAGTTTTCAGTGAGGATAGCAATCATTCTTTCCACTGACCCCAAGATGGCTCGATGAATAATCACTGGCCTTTTTTTGTCATCACCATCATGGCTATAAAGAAAAAGAATTTATTTTGCTTTTTTATATATACTTCTCCTTGTAGGTCCCTGGAGAAGACTATTCAGAGCAGATACTAGAAACTTACCTTACAAAAGTAAGATTAAATCTGATGGGCAACTGAAAATCTAGCTGAATTGTTGCACACTGGTGGTAGCGACCAATTGCATCTTTTATCTGTATGTCAATCTGCAAAGCAAAAACTAGGTTATTATTTAGATGGTACAGATATTAAAGCTGAGCTCAATCTCTGGATTAGTGCTGATTTTCCTTTTTCTTTTTATTCAAACTACTTAACAGCAAACTGTCTTCTTTCAGAAAAGAAAACTACATTATTCTAATAAACTTTGGTACTTACCTTTGGACCATAGAAAGCTCCATCACCAGGATTTAACTCCCACTTTTCACCAAATTCATTCAGGCTGTTTTCAAGTTGCTGAGGATAAAGCAAAATGATTTGCATTTTTGTTCATCTGACACTTTCCTTCTTCTAATCTGAGACTGGAAATAAAATTCCCTGTTTTATAAGTTTGTACACCTCAATATACACTCATACCTCCTTTTAAAGCATTCAGCTTAATAACTGAAAATAAACATTCAAGCAACTCTAAAATACTTTAAAATCATACAGAAAAAAAGGCTTACTCAAATAGAGGAACCATTTCTAATTTCCTTTTCTTTTATCCATTTATAAAGGCTTTCTTTCAGTATAGAACAAGCCAATTTCAGCCAAATGGTATGCGAGCACACTTAAAAAACACCACTGACCTTCTCAGCTTGATTCCAAACTTCAATATCTCCAAGGAATTTTTCTGGGCGAGTAGAAAGGTTCAATTTAAAAGAAAATCCAAATACATTATATACTGTACGCAGAAAATCCAAACAACCTTTTATTTCATCCTCAATCTTCAAATTAACAAAAAAAAAAAAAGAGAGAGAGAGAGAGAGAAGAAAGAAAATAGTAGTTATTTAGTTATTTTCCTTTGCTTTCCTGACACTTCTTTCAAAGTATTTTTATCCCACAAGGTTGCCTACCTGCTCCATGGCACAGAATATGTGTGCATCATCCTGTTGGAATCTTCGTACCCGGGTGAGTCCTGTGAGTGCTCCTGATAGCTCGTTCCTATGAAGTACCCCAAAATCAGCTACCCGCAGAGGCAGCTCTCGCCAGGATCTTGGACGATGATCAAACATGAGGCTAAAGAAGAAAGTAAAATTGATTGTTTATTCCATGTGAAAAAAACTGCTTCTCTAATATATTTAATTACATGAAGTGCTGTCAAAAAGTCACTGATCTAGCTGGGCATAGTGGCATGTTCCTGCAATCTCAGCTACTTAAGAGGCTGAGGCAGAACGAAAGTTTGCAGTTTGCCTGGACAATTTAGTGTGATCCTGTTTCAAAACAGGATGTATGTAGTGGTGGAATTCTTGCTTAGCATGCACATCCCTGTGCTTAATCCCTAGTACTATAAAAATAAGAGAAGAAAAAAAGCTTGTTTCTAATTGTTCATATAAGCAACATTTCTCAAATAATGTTTCACACAGCAATAAAAGCACTTGAATCAATAAAATAGCATGAACTAAAATACAACTATCCACTGCTGAGAAAATGAAACGTGTATTCCCATAAGCCTGGATTAAAGTACACGAGCTCAATATTTCCATTAGTTAATATGAGAACTGCCCTTAAGGCTCATATTAAAAAATACATATTAAAAAAAAAATAGAGGGCTGGGGATGTGGCTCAAGCGGTAGCGCGCTCGCCTGGCATGCGTGCGGCTGGGGTTCGATCCTCAGCACCACATACAAACAAAGATGTTGTGCCCACCAATAACTGAAAAATAAATATTAAAATTCTCTCTCTCTTAAAAAAAAATACATAGAAATAAACCATTTGAAACACTGAAACTAAAGTTAAACTTGTTCTTGTCAGGTACCAAAGTGCCTCAGTTTCCTTGTTAGAAGGTGAAGAATCTGGAAAAACTTAAGTATATCTCATTGGCTCCCTGACATGTTTAACCCAGTGTTATAGCTTAGATATGAGGCATCCCCCCAAAGCTCCTATGTGATACAATGTAAGAAATTTCAGAGGTGAAATGATTGGGTTAGGAGTTAACTTAATCAGCGCACTAATCCCCTGATAGGGATTAACTGAGAAGTAACTGTAGACAGGTATGACTGGGTCAATGGGGGAGGGGGTAACATGCTTTGGGGCACATATTTTGTGCCTGGAGAGAGAAGTCTATCTATTTTCTGGTGCTGTGTCTTGAGCTAATTTCCTCTGTCTTACTCTTCCATTATGATGTTCTGTCTTACCTCAGGCCCTAAGGAATGAAGTCAGCCATTTTTGGACAAAGACCTCTGAAACTGTAAGCCCCAAATAAACTTTTCCTCCTCTAAAACTGTTCTTTTCGGGTCATTTTGGTCACTGTGGTGAAAAAGCTGACAAAAACACCAACTTCTTTATGGAGTTTCCTTTCTCATTTCCTCTCCTGCCTCCTGTACTATGAGCCCTGCCTACCACGAGCTGTGGACACTAAGCTACCTGTATCCACATTTCTCACAAATCTTCCCAATATTTGTTCTTCATTTGTCTTTCATGAACAGAAAGTGGAGCAGCCTTAGGGCAAGAGAAGTTTTCCAAGGACATTAATTCATTAGCAGTAGGTTTTGATAGAACATGAAAGCAAGGGAAAGGGGCAAGAAAGAAGGGAAACTTGTGAGTATTTGCTACACCGCACATTCAGTCTCCTTGGTTCATATTCTGCCTTGTTAGCTGCTATTAACACCAGTATTATTCCTGAGTGTCAACATATCTGAGAATCTAACTGCACAGATAATACAACAAAAATGTTGTACTGAAATATTATTCTTATTACATAATGTTTTTAACAAAAATTCTTTCAAAGAAGGTAAAACAACATAGGACTAATTGGAGCACATGAAAATCTTAAGCTGCTGAATACCAGTGTCCTGGGCAGTTCATGGGTTTAAGAGCAAATTGCTCCTTCTCCACCTCAAAGGAGAACATGTTCTCACTGTAGTGTTGCCAGTGGCCTGAGGTCATCCAGAGTCGGCTATTGTAGATGTTTGGAGTGACTACCTCCTGGAATCCTCTTTTCCTATATTCACTCTGTTAGAAAATAAACAGAACACACATGTAGGCAAATCAAAGCTCACCTTTCTGGAAGGAGTAAAATTTTAAACAGCAATTTTATACTCTCTTTAATAAAGTTCAAGAAACACATATGCCATGACCCAGAATTCCACCTGTAGGCATATACCAAAGAGAAAACTTTCACACAGGTATATAAGGATGCTTATGTAAACAATGCTATTTTAGCATTGTTAGTAAGATGGAAAAATCAGAATTCACATCAGTGTGAATTAATAAAGGAATAAGCATATTAATGAGGTAGATATATTGCAGACTGATACACAATGACAACTATGTATATAAATTAGAAACAAATAATTCAAAGGCACACATATTTGGGATATATATATACATATATATATACATATATATATATATATATCAGACAAAACAAATCCACGCCAACTCCAAAATAATAGCTTCTTCTAAAAAATGAGGGAAATGGATCAAAAAGGGGTCTCAAAGAGGGTTATTTTTTGTTTGCTTACTTAGCTATATTTGTAGTTTTTTTAACATCTTGAACAAAAAATTTGGAACAGATATACCCAATGCAAATGTTAAATTTGGGTGGCAAGTACACCTGGTTATTCATTACTATTCTGTAAATGGCTATAGTTACAACTTCAAGCTCACCTGCTTCTGTGTACATACTCATGTATACGAACAAAATCATGTATTAGAATTTTTCAACAATTGATGAGACCTCCAAACTTTCATTATTTTTAATCATTTTATGTGTTTCTTTCCAAATATAAATCTTTACTTTCAGCAGACCTTATTTAACAAAATCATTTCACGTTCTAAATCTTCAGAATACAAAAACAAATGTGATTTACCCTGATGAACTCCACAAGTGTATTATAAATGTAAGCTCCCTTGGGCAGGAAAAAGCAACTTCCAGGGCTGAGCTCATGGAAGAAATATAGTTCTTGATCCTGAGTAAAAGAAAAGCAAGATTGTTTATATATGTACACAACTTTGACATAGTCAATGTTCCTCAGCTCAAAATTCGGTCATGATGCTCCATATGTCAATTAATGCCAATCCTAAATAAACAAGTCAACTTTTCTGGTGTATAATTTAATTGACAACTTAGCACAAGTCTGTTCCCTGCTTGCTATAGTCCTCAATTCAGGCACGTGTAACCAATAGTGACACTGAACAGGGCTCTCAATTTTACAGTTCTTATATTTCCAATTTCTCAAAGTTTTAAGGTCTGGGTGTTTTTTCATTATTTTTCTCTTTCTGTTAAACTGGGAAAAAGGCAGTGACGATCAAACAGACGATAATAGATGAAACTGGTTAACTCTTTCACTCTCATCTCCTTGCCTCCCTCATCCACCACCAAATGCCCAAAGCCTTTGGGGAGAGCCCACTACTGCTGGGATTCATTTCAGCAGTCAAGGGAGCAAAGCAGTAGATGTTCTCTCTAGCTTAAGCTTCATAATCTAATAGCCAAAGACATCTGGCAATGAGCCCTAATTTACAGAGAAATGTTTTTATGAAACCTAACTTGCAGTTTAGAGGAAATTCAGAGGTAGAGGGATGATGGGTAGAAGAAAAAAAACTACAGAATCCATGGGTGACCTCAGGCAACAAATTGATTAATTTTTCTGGGATGGTTTCCATATTTTTATGAATTAGTGAGACTAGTTCTCCCAGATCTATGAAAGAGTGTTATACATTTTTTTTTTTTTTTTACAGAAAAATGTAGGTCAGCAACATTGTTCTCAAAGTGGTAATTAAAATGGATTTTCATAGAAAGATAATGTGAACAATCAGTAAGTATTCACAATTCCGATAGGACATGGCATGACAGGTAACTGAAATCTAAAGCACGTCTTCAAAATGGAATTTCTAGCACTCAATACAGCTGAATTTTAAATAAAATTTTAGAACACTCAACCTAGAGACATCTTTGTTCTTTAACATACCCTCCCAATTTTTCTATGATCTCGGTTTTTAGCCTCCTCTTGGAACTTCTCCCATTCTTTCAACATTTTGGGATCAGGGAATGAAATGCCATAAATTCTCTGGAGGGTCTCCATATCGGCTTTGCCTTCCCAGTATGTGGAAGAATTCTGAAAATAAGGATAAACCATGATACAACATTTAAATATATAAACATCTCACTTATTTTAGGAGTTGGATATTATTTCTCATAATCACTTTGAGTCAAAGTCACAGCAATCCTTTTGACAAGAAAAATGACATAAAATGTACACACCTAGTAAATGTCTCCCATTGCTTTGAGGCTGGACTTACTCTGTAGCCCAAAGTTGGCTTTTCTTCTCCCCTCAAATATGCCCACTCTGGAGGCAGAGATGGAAGGGGAAGTGTTTGGAAGTGATACTGGCCAAATTACTTTGTATGCATGTATAAATACGCAACAAATTCCATCATAATGTACAACTATGATGCACCAATAAAAAAAAGTGGGGGAAAAATACCCTTGAATATTTGTTCAAAACACAATCTCATGAACATTACTCTTACTGCAAAGGCATCTCTCACAAAATAATTAAGCAAAAACGGAAATGAACTAACAAAAAAGTTTTGAAATAACCCAATTATTCTGATGCTTTAAAGTACATTTAAAACTGACAGGATTAGTTACATTAAAAGAAACACTTGGCAATTATTAATTTAGACAAAGGAATAAAACACAAACTCCTTCAGTGAGTCTCAAAAGCTTTCAGAGCCACAATGGCCCATAACTGCATGATCTTGTGAATCCCTCAAACCTCCATTCCAAAATGCTGGCTCCAGTGATGAATGGTGAGTTTTTAAAAAACTGATGTTAGCACCCAGTTAGTAGGTAGCATGAAAAAAAATAATAATCTTCATTGTATCCAAGAAAACAATGGTAGAAAAATCGATAAAAGTTTAAACATATATCTATAATAGACAAATACATTCCCAATTCCCACACAGTGTTTAAAGTTACATTGCTTACTTTGTGTATTTTTAAAGCCTTAATTTTGCCAGTGTGTCTGACATGAGGACCCCGGCAGAGATCTATCAACGGACCACACCTACAATAAAATGAAAGCAATTTTAACAAACTGACATATACACCAGTTGCTTTTCATGATATTTGATATTCTCACCTATAGACCGTTGTAGTTGGAGTATTTACTTTTTCATTCAATATCCGGCACTTGAACTTGTTGTACTAAAAATTTTAAAAAGGATTAAAAAAACAAAACTTAATTTTTACATCTAAATACTTCAGCTAAAATAGAACTCAAAGTACATCTTATTAGAGCAATGTATGAATATAAATATGCCAATATTTTGTTTTACAAACACTTTTCATTTCTTCTAAACAAAAAATGGCTTCAACTTGAAGCATTAAGCCCAAGTGTTACAACTTCAAGCGATCGATATCTGTGAGTGAAATAAAAGTGGAGGCCCCATGTTACAGTTCCATTTACCTTAAACATTTCCAATAAGGTTTCCTTTTTAACTTCCAATCTTTCAAAAGCTTGTTTTTCTTTAATGATTTTCTTACACAAAGTCTCCAAAGAAGAGAAATCATTGCTGGATACACCCCTGAAAAAGAGAATATAATCTTTCTACATTCCATTGTATTTACACCATTAGAAAAGTGTTTCTTAGGAATACTTTAAGCATTTTAACATAACAAATTAGACCCTTGAATCATATATTAGAATTTTAAAATAAGCATTTTTCATAAATCACTTTTATATTTTCAGTGGCTTATACCTGGATCAACATGAAGACCTTTTCCCTTAGTGACCTCTTCCCCCACCTCTATCACCAGGCTTAAAGGAGACCAGAAGACCAGTTTCATCTTACTTACTAACATACTTTAGGACCCTACCTCCATTAGTCTAGAATAGATCTTATTAAAGAATCTATTCAAATAAATTACAATATTCAGGGATTGCCAATAGGAATACATGATGACTATGGAGCAATGGGCTTTATATCCTTCTTTCCCCTTCACTGGAAACGCTTTAAAAATAACGTATAGACCCACAATCATTCCGATTTTAGTTTTCTTTATTCAGTGACATAACTTACCCCTCTTCGAGGTACATGTCATAATAGAACCCATTCTCTATTGGTGGACCATAACATAAACATCCACCATAGACTCTTTCCATGGCCTCACCCATGATGTGAGCACTTGAATGCCAATATACCTGAAGTTTAATGAAAAATAAGATGGCTTCAATCTTGAATATAAGTTGCAAATTAATATTGTTAATACATAGAAAGAGACAGATACAGTTTACTATAAAATATCCTGAAACATAAAAACAAATTTAAATATCTATAAAGTACAGTGTGATTCTATCCACAGCCAAAATTAAAAGGCTTCTAATTATGATACTGTATTTGTACTGAAGAAAACCTGTGGTTTAGTTGTTTTAAAACAAATTCAATTTAGCACCATTAAATAGGATGAAGTTTGTTTCCTAAAGCAAATTGCCACTCACAGTGCAGACTATCTGATTGAGTTTAATGGCCCAGGTTCTTTTGAGTCACTCTGTCCATAGCCTCATGTCCCAGATGCTATAATATGGCCTTTAGCTGGCTATAGAACATCACTTAATAATTACATCTGTCAGCAGGCCACAAAACAACTCTGAACAAATTAAAAAAAAAAAATGATATAATTCCTTGTGTCTTATCAGATCTTAATAGAATGAAATTAGAAGTTAACACAATAAAACCCTTCAGAAACTATATAGACATGTAGAGATTGAACAATACACTTTTGAATGATGAATGGGTGACAGAAGACAATCAAGTGGGAAATTAAAAAGTTCTTAAATTCAAATGAGAATAGTAATAAAACATACCAGAATCTCTGGGAGGCAGTTTTTAGAAGAAAGTTTATAGCTAATCAGAAATACCTCAAATAAACAACCTAACAATGTATCTCAAGGCCCATTCTTTCAACATTTTGAGATCAGAAATGAAATGACATAAATTCTCTGCAGAGTCTCTTGAAAAAGAGACCTTGAAAAAGAACAAACCAATTCCAAAACCAGTACAAAGAAGGATAATAATTAAGCTCTGAGCCACAATTAATAAACTTCAGGAAAAAAAAACCCCACAAAGGATCAATGAAGCAAAGAGTTGGTTCTTTAAAAAGAAATCGGATTTATAAGCCTTTAACCAAATATCAAAACGAGAGAAGACCCAATTAAATAAAATTAGAGATGCAAAAGGAGAAATCACCACAGATATCACAGTGGATTGTGAGGGACTACTTTGAAAAGCATTACATCTGTTGATACCACTGACCCAAAACAAGGTGGTACAACTTGATTCTACAACCAATGATAAAACATAAGGACTAACATGTAGACACTCAAACCAAATGGCAATATGTGGTTTTAAGATAGTCATTTGGATGAGTATTGTTTTCAGGATTTATGATTAAAGTACCAAAATGATATTTTAAAAGTCTCACAAACAATCTATAGGCTCCAGGATATACCTGAAAACCACTGACCTACACAGATAAGTCAATAAAATAAAATGCTTTATTTCCCTTTTAATGGCATATGGTCATATCTTCACCTTAAATTCAATGAACACTGAAATATAAACTTACTGCTTGTGCTTCCTCATCCTCAAATTTGAGAAGCTCCAAAGTACAATCTCCCTCCAGTGGGCGGTCTAGGTCCCAAACAACTTTGTTCACTTTAGCAATAACAGTGTTGTCAGCCAGGCCTTGACTTGAAAAAATATACATAAAAACACAAGAATCTGAAATATAATTCCTTCTCACACAACATTTAAGAAGAGAAAAATAAACACTAAATTTATTTGTATTAATATTAATACTCTATACATTTTTGTATCTTCTGAAATATACAGGAAAAGCAACAAATTTCCAAAATATACCCAAGAATATAATATAACTGGAAGACCCTGAAGCTCCAAAACACCATTATTTGACACTTAATGCTTCTTATAAGAATAATAATTTCCAGTGGTTTAACTTTTCCACAATTAAATTTTCTACAAAGCCAAGAAACTTAGATTCCAAAGGAAAAAATAAAGGCACTAAGAAACTTTTCTGCTTAAATTGTGTACTAGATCATTTCTTTAAGAGGCAATGCTAACCTCAGAATAAATTCTACAAACACATAAGGTGATATCAGCATTTATAACAAATACGGAGGTAAAATAAAAAACTGTTTAATAAAACTTCGTATATTACAGTTTAAAATGTCAGATACTCACTACACAGTACAGAACATAAAACTATCATCAAATGATGAAATTTCCCATTATACCAGGTGTAAAGGCCATAGGATTTATGGGGAGGATAAAACAACATGGTCAGACTACTCTGGAAAGGCTCTGAGACTAAAGCAGCAAGGGGCTGAAGGATCAAAAAGTCTGGACACTTAGAAAAGGAGGAGATGGCTATCTAGATGAGGGAATGGGTACAGATCCAGGTGAAGATGTAACTGAAGAGTTTTCGAAAGCTGCATGACCACAGCAGAGTTGAGTAAGGTCTGCCCAATTACAAAGGGGAACACACAGTTAGCAAAATGACAGTCCATCATAATCAATGCATCTCCACAAAAGCAGACAAAACGCAACATTCAAAGGAAAAGTTAGCATCCTTTATACCCTTACTCTCAAATAAATTTATCACCTCCAGGCATTAAAGTAGTTGGGCTCCCTGTGTTGATGCTTCTCTCCTTGCTCTGTTTAAAGGTTATAACCTAATATACACAACTACCCCACATAGGGTTCAGGAGAAAACAATGACAAAATAAACCATGAAATTCCTATTTCAGTTTCAATGCTCCCATTGGCTTTCCTATAGATTATATCCAATGTTTTCTTTCTTGCTAAGATCAGATGGGGCCAATAAAATGAGTTAAGTAAAAGCATTTCACAAAGTCTAACATGGATTTGGCAGTGAGAAGTATACTTTCTTCTAATGGCGTAAAACAGTTTCCAAAAGATTATAGAACTAACTGATAAAAAGGTGATAAATATTTTCTATATTATTTGGGAAGAAAATGACCATCATTTTATAGTTCAAATGTTATCCTGAGATGAAAATAATAGTCACTCAGAAAATGGAGATTACACATGAACCATACTGGATCATTTCAGTTTTTCAATGAAAGAACAAAAGAGAATTTCAAAGAAATACTTTTAAGCATATGAAACAAGTCCTGTCATATTCACCACTAATCATCTAAATCTGTAAGTAATTCATATTCATGCTATAGTTTTTCACAGAACAACAAAGTTATTGAAATTTTATAAAAATTTCTCTGCAAATCACACTTAACTCCAGAGCTGCTAAAGCCCATCATTGTTTAAGGTAATTCAACTTTGAATTTTACAGTTCTAGCAATAATATTTTCCAGTTGATCACTTAATAAATCACAATGCAATCTAGAGGACAACATTGTTGAATGTACAAGAAAAAATTCAAGACTAAGACAAGCCCAAATTTTAATACACAGTTACAATCTCAATGTGTGACAGAAGGAATCTCTACACCAACTGGAGCTCCAAAATTATCTCTAAAACCAAAGAGCAACCTGATATTTTAATGGTTCATCTAATTCTTTATGAGTTCACACAGAAGCATACTTGATATCACAACTTCCTTTGGAGTACAGTAGTAGTACTTGTCAAATTAACTGAACACTCCCATTTACTCTGTAAAATGTACTAAGCAATGTCCACGGCCCAGTGAAGGCTAATGGCTCATAGGCAGGCAGGCATGCATAAGTGCTTCTACTCACCAGTTGCATAATGGGCCTACATAGAATCAGGTGAGTTGGTTTCCAGACCTGTTTAAATGCTTTTTACTTTATGTCTTAGGCTTAATGCTATGAAATTTCAATATGAAATTGATGCCCATTTTTGATAATTCATACAACAATTTCACATGGTTCAATTCAATACATAATTATTATCAATAAACTTAAAAATATATAAATATAATATGAATAAATAATACAATGAGAGGATTGAGAGTTGGAAAGTCATGAAAAAAAAGTATTGTCAAGTTAGTTGTGGATGAAACAACTACATAGAAAGCTAGAAGAATTCTGCAATCAGGACTGCTTCTCTAGTACGTTACGATTAAGAACTAGCACTTGCTATCCCGAAAAACATTGGTCTTATACATTTAAAATATGTAAATCTTAAGGCAGGCTGGCAAACTTTTTCTATAAAAGGCATACAAAATTTCTGTTGCATATTTTTTTCTAAGTTTTTTTTTTTTATATTTTTCTTTGAACATTTAAAAATGAACATTCTTAGATTTCAGGCTGTACAAAAACAGGCTGTGACCAGTTTGCTGACACCTGGTTTAAGTTGCTTTTCCAACTTAATCAAGTTCTGATAAATTGATCAAATATTGATTCCCATATTAGATTATGATCTATCACATTGATCTATTATAAAGTATGCATGCAATTCTCAATTACTAATTTCTTCCTAATCCACTAAGTCTTAAGATAAGGTCTGGTCCTTCTTTGGATTTATAAATATAGTATGCTTTTTTCAAATGCCAATCTTTCACATGTGAGAAGATCTACCTTCATTTTTAATTTAAAAACTCAGATATTTAAGTCAAAATTGGTGATACACTGTCTACTTGGCTTTGTGACATTTATGATCAATGTAGAAAGACTAACACAAGCTTCATATGAAAAGATTTAAGTAGACTCCTTCAGAAATTAACCTTGAATCTTGATTATAAAATTCCACATCACTTTGATTTAAAAAAATTTTTTTTCAATTAGGGTAAATTAAAAACATCAAAACCAAAAAGTAACATAAAAATATTAACCTGCCGAGATAATAAAACAAAATTTGGTTAGGTTAGAAACTATAGAACTGTAGCTTTTACCTAATTCCACAAGCAATTTGATAAGGTGTAGTTTTCCAGGATTCTGCATTGACCTGTTTACCATCGGGTAGAGTGACTTTAATCGGCTTGCTATCTTTTTCTGCCTTTTCTGCTAGAATGGAATCATGCTCTGCTTTTAGTTTATTATACATCTCAAGACGTGTGTTAATATATTCAGGCCAAGGATTCAACTGCAAGACAACAAATGAAATAATCAGACAAAACAAAACGCATTATTACTCATCAGTATGGTAAACAGATTGCAACAATTACTGGGCATTACTCTGATCTGGTCCTAAATAAGAATAAAAGAAGGAACTAAGTGTCCTCTTCTTATAACTTATACTTCTAAATAATAGAAAAACATAAATAACGTAATAAACCTGGTCTGCAAACATTGACAACTATTAACCATTTTTCAAAATATTATTATTTGCATCAGTATTGTTTTAAGATGTCCTCTTAAGGTTTTTTTTGGTTTTGCCTTTGGTTTTATTGGTTTTGACACTTGGAATTGAACTCAGGGTGCTTTTCCACTGATTCTACATACCCTTTTATTTGTTTTAATTTTAGTAAGCTAAGTTGCTTAGGGCCTTGCCAAGTTGCGCAGGCTGGCCTCAAACTTGCAATTCTCCTGCCTTAGTCTCTGGAGTTGCTGGGATCACAGGCATGCACCACTGTGCCCAGCTATCAAGGTCTTAACTAAATTATCTTTAAATTATAACTATAAGCAATAATGGAAATAAAAACAAAGTGGCTTTTCAGTTTTGTTTCAATCTTGTTCAGAGGACATTCAATACAGTTGGTCAGCCTGTATGTCCACTCAAAACCAACTATAAATTTATTAGACTTAGGGGATTCCATTTAAGGAAAAATTTATCAAGTTCAAAGAAGCTACGACCATCCTATAGTATTTAAAGAAAAGAACACAACACTCCATCCTATAATATTTAAAGAAAATAAAACAACACTACTGTCTATATAATTGATAAAATTAACCAAAATATTGTATATAGAACAGCCAGTGAAGTTTCAAAAAGTTTGGCAAAGAAAGAAAAACATGATGATCAAAGATTTGACTTCCTTTATTGTCTGACACTTCACTCAAGTAGTGAATCTGTGGCCATGAAAGAGTCAAACCATTAACACCTACAGAATTTATCATTTTCAAATGATGTTTACATGGAGATTAATAGGTGTATATCAAAGCAAAGAGATGGCTCAATTTTACTTTCTATCTTCATATGTATTTAGATCAATCAGCTACAACATTCAAATATATGCTATTTATATGCAAATACATCTGTGACAGATTGACTTAAACCAATCTGGCTCTACAGACTCACTGTATAGCTTAGACATTACGGTTCCTGGTGGTCATGATTATTCATTATCCATTATGTCTATCTCAAAGGCTAATAACATTTACCTAAGTATCACAGCAAAAAAAGAGAGCCGTCACAACATTAAAAAATATTTATATTTTCAACTTCTTAAACAATTAGTTTCATTGCAAAATAGCACTTTTATTTTTCCCCAGATATAAAATATACATCTCATTAAATAATCTTTTTTGTACCTTCGTCTTTTGAAATGAGCCAGGCATGGTGGTCCATACCTACAATCTCAGCAATTTGGGAGGCTAAGGCAGGAGGATCCTAAGTTCAAGGCAGCCTCCGTAATTTAGTGAGACCCTCAGCAACTAAGCAAGACCCTGGCTCAAAATAAAAGGACCTAGATGTAGCTTAGTGGTAAAACACCCCTGGGATTAATCCCTAGTGCTCCTCCCACAGACAAAGCCCTAGCATCTTTATAATTCCCTCCTACTGCAGTTCCATTCTTGAGTCATTTAGTTGTTCTTTGGGAGATTTTCATCTAATTATACCAGGGATTCATACCTCTTAATAGTGAAGAAACAATGAAAACAATGAATTAATTAATAGTTCAGAGCCTATCATTGTACAACCATAATCTGAACCCCTCAATCCAATGCACATTTCTTGGTCCTCCCTACCCATATGACCCTCTTTCTTAACTGCTGTCTGTCTCTGTATACACTTGGCACTCACTTGCTAATCAAAAGAACTTAATGTCAAACTTAAGTTACTCAACATTCATTGAGCAGACATATTCTGTGATAGGTTCTGGGGCTGCAGAGATGAATAATAAGACCTGAATGTTGCCCTCAGAAGAGAAATAAGACAAGTACATAAATGAGGGGAGCACAGAGGAGAAGACAAGGTCTTGGACATATCACTGTACATTTTTATCCAAGACCATTTAAAACATAAAGACACATGTCCACTTAAAATTCTCTATTCATACATGTCCTCTAATTGTACTCTTTATTTCCTATTTCTAAGCTAATTCTTAAACAATGACAAGACAGCATGTCCAAATACTTGAAAGTATAAAGAAGAATTAGGAAATATTCATTTTACTATGTACTTGCAAATCTTAAAATTCAGTATACAATTAACTGAAGAAATGGTTAGGCAGGGTTCTAAATAACACAACACTTGATCACTTATAAAAGTAGAAAAAGCTCTTTAAAGTCAGTTTATTGTGCTACTTTAAAAAATCCTATTCCTTTGTGCTTCTATATTTTGGTCATTTTCTAAAGTCTCCAATAAAACAGCTGCAATGACTAAAGCAAAAAGCAAAGCATAGTTTATAGCAATTCAAGTTCAAAAATAAAGTAGAAAGACAAGCTTAACTGCCTCCTAAAATAAAACATACAGGAACCAGGTAGGTTCTGGGGTGGCTTTTGAAATGCCAATTAGTTTGAGCCCAGGGAAGAGAAAGTGCATTCTCTAGATCTGAGAGAAATCAAAAAGATTTTGTCCTGTCTTAAAGCCAGAAGGGGTAACACACACCTCATATCCTGGCTATTCAGGAGGTTGAAGCAGGAGGATTTGAAGTCCAAAGCCAGCCTGGGCAACTTAGAGAGACCCTATCTCAAATTAAAGTTTCAAAAAGATCTGGGAGATGTAGCTCAGTAGAAGAGCAGTGGCCTAGCATGCATGAATCCCTGGATCCAATCCCCAGTACCACAAAAAAGACCCCAAAACAAACAAACAGCCTCAGGAGTAGGTCCACATGAAAAAAGTGAAGAGATCAAGGAATTAGGTTTCCTTTGGTTTCTGTTATATTTAGTGAAAACTCAAATACTAAGTCTCCATCTCTTAACATCTCATTTAATGAAATGATTAGAAAGCCAGCATCCAATCTGGCAAACTACCATAACCTCATTCTCTCCAACTTTTGTGCTCTCTCTCTCTCTCTCATAACCCCAGAATGAGATCATCTTACAATCAATGTTTTCCTTTTGCAATAATAAATAATTGCAAATCTTTTTCTCCTCTCAGACTAATTTTTCCTAATTCTTCTTTCCAATGAAGGGTCTTTTTATAATGACACATAAACTATTCGAATTCTTACATACAAGATAAGCCTGGGAAAGTGTTCCGCTACTTGCCAACCTTTGATAGCAGAGCCTTTGACAACTTTTACCTCTGCTCGACCTCCATCTCCAGATCCTTCTTTGTTCTTCTTCTTGCCTCCTTCTTTTCGCTTCTCTTCAACAGCATCTACCTAACAACAACAACAAAAAAAAGGTTTTATATTTTAATCTAATTTGACACATTCCCTTATGATGTCCCCAGAAGTTTTGAGAATGTTACTTTATCATCTGCTTAAAAAAAGGAAACCTGATTCTGAAAGATTCAAAAATTTCACTACTGGTAAAGAAAAGTTAACAACTTAAAATAAGGAAGTCTTAAAAAAGGGTAGAGGGGAGTTACTTAATGCACAATTTTTCAAATTTCATTTATTTTAACTATTCCGATGACTCTCATTCAGGTTTTTCGGACCTGCATTAAATAGTTTTATTTAGTAAGCATTGATGGGGGGTGTGGGGACTGAATATGCTATATATTTATCCTTTCCTCAAGTATTAATGTTTAGGCTCATATTATTTTGTTACACAGTGGAAAAAGCAAAAATAAGACCCAGTCCCTACCAGGTGCAAACTTAGTCTCTCCTGAGAAACTACACCATCCATGTGTGAGAAACTCCCAGAAGAGAAAAGACCATAGCAGCGACACTATGATTAGATGTCTAACAAGCTAGGACCACCGTAGGCACTGGTGCTGTAAAGGAGGGAAGAATTTCAATAGGTTGGATTGTGAGAATGGAAGCGATGTGTTCTAAGTATGCACAAAGGCTTGTCAAAATGCTAAAATTAAAAATGAGAGAAAGAAAAATGACTAAACCAGGGCGACTAAAGCAGAAGGACTGCTTTCAGACATAATTCAAGTTAAGACAGACCAGGAGTCAAAAAGTTACCAGGAGGAATGTGAACTTCAATTAGAAGTAAGTGAAATCAGAAAGTCCTGTAAGGGAGATGAGAAGGAAGAATTTTATTTTTTTATGTATTTGTGCTTTTGATTTTTTAACAGTGTTATTGAGATATAATTCATATGCCATACAATTCACTCATATAAAGTATACAGTTCAACAGTTTTTACTAGATTCACAGTTGTGCAACTATCACCACAATCAATTTTAGAGCATTTTCATGACTTCTTCCTAAACAAACAACAACAAAACAAACAAACAAAAAACCCCACTGTACTCAGTAGTAGTCACTCCTTGTTTCCCCTAACTCTTGGCAACTACTATTTATAAAGGATTTTTTGTTGTTGCTTTTGCAGTGCAGGAAATCAAACTCAAAGCCTTATATACTCTATCTCCATTGAGGTTTATGTCCAGTCCCCATTTTTTTTTTTTAATCTCTGTGGATTTTCCTCTTCTGGGTACTTTATATAATTGGAATTATACAATATGGGATCGTTTGTGACTGGCTTCTTTCAATTAACATAATCATTAAGATTATAATGTTGGAACCTGTATTACTACTTTGCTCCTTGTTATTACTATATAATATTCCTGGGTTTTGTTTGTTCTGGATTTTTCTCTCACTTTTTTCTTTTTTGGTGCTGGGGATTAAACCCAGGTTCTTGCAATGGGCTTCACCTCTGAGCTACACTCCAAGTCTCTACTGTTTATTTGTCCACTTATCAACTATGACATTTCAGTTAATATTACATAACACATTGCTTATTCAATTTAGAAAAAAATCTGAATTTTTAAAAAATATCTCCTAATTTTATGTTGAGCTAAAACTTCCCCCACTCCAGGGATATGGATTTAATATACTTTGTTTATTTTAAGGTTTTTGTTTGTTTGTTTGTTTGTTTTGTAGTTGGACAGCATGCCTTTATTTTACTTGTTTATTTTTATGTGGTGCTCAGGATCAAACCCTCACACACAGTAGGCAAGTACTCTGCCACTGAGCTACAGCCCCAGTCCTTTTAAGGTCCATTCACATTCAATAGATAAATAACATAATTTAAATCTATCTAATCAAGTGAAGTAGTAGTAACAAAGATTTGTAGGACTCCCCATATGTCTTCACTATACCACAGAATTGATGTAATTAGTTAACTAATTGCAGATGTATTTGCAGGTTTAAAACAGAAAAGGTAATGAATTTCAACCCCAAAATCAGAACAGAGAACTTGGCAATAAAGGAAGCTACAGAATTACCTTCCTCAGCTATGTTTAGGCCTTGAAAGAAAAGTATACAAAGTGTGTTGTTTAAGTAAATTCAATCCCAGAGACTGACAGCTAAGACAAGTATGTGGAATTTCAATAATTTGGTGAAGTATCTATCCAAGACTCATTTCCAAGAAGATAATGAGAAGGAGGCTTACAAGAAATGGCTACATATTATTTTTGAGAAAATTATTTACTGTTTCTATTCCTGTATCCTCATTTGCATGATTGGGACAAAAAAAGAACCCAGGTCATGGAGTTGTTATGAGGGCTAAAGGAGATAACACAGGTAACACAGTGCCAGGACCATAGTTAGTACTCAATAAATATTAGCTCTTGTGTAATAATTGTTTAGAAGGGGGTTGGAGTGCAGTTCAGTGGTACAGTGAGGGGAAAAATTATATTTGTTAGCCATATATCACTTATAATTAAGAATGGTATGGGGGATGTTCATGGATATGGAAAGCTGCTGACCACATATTATTAAACAAAAACAGTAAACAAGTCAATAAACAATAAAGATGCCATTTTTAAGTGAAAAAATAAACAGATTGAAAACATTTTGTATAGACAATTTATCATCTTAAATTTACAGTCTAGAATATGCACATATGCGTTTTCTCCCTTTTCATTCCCTGAAGGAACAACACAGAAAATTGTGACTTTTAAGTGATTTGTCCTGTCAGAGTGGAGTGGAAGCTCTCTTACTAGACCTTACCACTTCTCACCTGGGCTAGTGCAACACCATCCTTCAAACAGCCTCACCTCTTTCCAGTGCACCTTCTACCCACACGCCTGAGTGGTTTTTACAAATGCAACCCACAGGAAATACTTTGTATGGAGGATACAAATATTCTTCTGTACCTCTTTCTTGGTTTTTCTCTTACAAGCTATCCTGCAGTCACAATTCATCCTCTGTCCATCTTCACCTTTTCCTGGAAACACTCCCTGATTTACAGGATGAACACTTTATTCCACACTCAAAACCAAGAGAGTTTGCCAAACCAAGTTAAGTGCTTCCTCAGAAATCCCATACGGTGGACTGACTGCACCGCACTATTGACTGTTTTCCTGTTTACACAACAGGCTGTTTGAGGCCTTCAAAAGAAGGATTTGGCCCAATTCATCTTATAACCTGCATTGCCCTGCTTGATGATCATAAAAATATGACCTGACAGTGTGAAAGTGAGTTGGGAGATGTTCCTAAGAAGTGGATGACACTGAAGCGGAACGGGGCTTAAAGGTAAAGTGATCAGCCCTGGCAAAAGGAACGGTGCAAGTCCTAGCAAGTTTGTTAGATGGAATCATCCGGTTTCCATCATTTTCTTTAAACCATCAACCAAACGTGGACAAGTTGGATCAAATTTCGGGGACTCAGCTTTCCCTCCCTAAACTAGCGCCCCTTACCTTCAAGGGGTCATAGAAAGGTTGTGCAATGTTCTTCCCGCCTAAAGCTGGGGGAAAACGCAAATCTGGGAGTCCTGAGTCCTAGATTCTAAATCTGGGCTGCTAATTCGATGTGTGGCTCTGAATAAGTCACTCCCTCAAATTCTTGTTTTCTCATCCGCAAGAATGAGGATGGCCCTGGAGGTGCATAGCGCGGTCCCACCCTGCTGTAAGTATGGACGATTCCTGCTGAAGTTACTCGACCTCGCTCCTGGGTTCTAACGCCCCCCGCCGGCTCGACGGCCGCTTCCTGCTAGGCGTCCCAGGCCCACCGGGCAGCAAGGACACCGAAAACCCCAGCCCGGCCTCCCCGCCCCTTTCAGACAACTCACTGGCTTCTCTTCGCTGCCCATCTTCCCTGAAGGGCCCCTGGCCTCCTCAGACATCAAAGAACCACGAGGAGGCAACAGAACCCGAAAGCGACGGTCTGGAGGAGAAAGCAGGCGGGGCAGACGTGGACCGGGACCTTGGGGTCTCCAGCGTTGGCACCTCGTGGCCCTGAAAGCACCAGCTGATGCAATCTGAAGGCGCCCAAACCCCGCCCTCAGCCTGCCGGCAGAACGGACAGCCAATTGACAACGAGGGGAGGCGGGCCCTCTGTTGTTTGCACCAATGGAAAAGCTTGTTGAGTGACAGAGCAATTCTAGGAAATCAAGGCGCGGCTGTAAAATGACCTGAAAACTCTAAATAGTACTTCCGTCCCTCCCAGCGCTAGAAGCTTGAGAGTCGCCAAGTGCACCACGCACATGCGCTCTTCGGATCCTCTGCTTTTCTGAAGACTAGTCAAGGACCGTTCCGGCCACCGTAGCGAATGACGGCGGGGCGGAACTTGGTCCCAGCATCCGGGAAGTCCTGGGCGCCCTGTAAATCCTCTGGGTTACTTGGTTGAGTCCGAGGCGTCCTGACCTGCCAGACTGCCAAGTTCCGCCAGTGTGCAGCGGTGAATGGACCCTCCTCCAGGCAACCCAGGCTTCCCGAGACCCGTGCAATGGCAACTGGGGCACCGGCTAGAATCCACTCTAACGTTTACTTAAGGAAACAACCACATTGACACCACCCAATGTGCCTTTTCCTATTTTACTTGCTGTTTTAAAGCCTCTGCTTATTTCGAATCAGCAGCGCCAGGTGCATACGTTAGTCTCGTCACGTTTTATTCATTTTACGTTCTAAACGTCGGTGTTCTCACAATTTGCCATCTTCAGGATCATTCCTTTCACAAAGAATAACAGCCTCCTAATCCGACTTTCTGCATTCATGTTTTCACATGGCACCAGAGTCATGTTCAAATATTAATATGATTATGGCACTTTCTTGCTTAAAACTCTTTAATGGTTTTCCATTGCTCTTAGAATAAAACTACTCAGGCTCTATGGCATCGAGGTCTCCCTCTTCATTCCCCCGCCACAGCGCTGAATTCTAACCTTGGTGGTCCCCGCCTGCCCCCTGTCAGGTTCTTTACCACGGATTTTTTTTTTTTTTTAAGTACTAGGATTGTCTCAGCCATCATTACACCTGTATGCCCCCCACGCGTTTTGCCCTTTTTACACTTTCGTCAGACTCAAGAATCATTTTCTTAGGGCAGCTATTTTTGTCCACCCTTACTGATAGAGCAAGTCTCCCTGTTACATCGGCCTGTGGCTTCATGTAGATTTCTTGGTCACACCTGTCAGTTGGCTTTGTAATTTTTTAAAAATATTTATCATCTTTTTAGATTGAAAAAGCTAAAGACAGCTTGTGTATTTTAACAGCTTAGAAGATATAAGTCAAGCACACAACGGATGTTAAAATTTTGACAATGAATGTCAAAACAAACCTTGCTAGAAAAATTACCTTCTGATTTGTATGGAAAGAAGATTTGCTAAATAGATCTAGGGGAAGTTTATAATAAAAGTAGATTATTTATAGTACCTGGTGGGTGTTTGTTTTAGAAAGTTCCAGGAGTTACATACAATCGTAATAAGTTCAAGTAGACCAATCAGACCTCTCACATTTAAGTTAGAATGAGAATCAACAGGATCTAGTCTTTCCTTCCAATGTGACACCATTTAATTTTACTCGTTAGACATGTTTGCCAGAATTGTATCTTAATTTTAAATAAGGATAATGTGGACTAGAGAGATCAAGATAACTAAATTTGTTAGAGGCAGAACAAAGAAGGCTAACAGGATTGTTCTGTTATACATGGTTTATAAGCAGTTTCTTCCAATCCCTTGTTCTTTTTCAACCACAGAACCAGTTCTGGTCATAGGATAGCAAAGAGAAAAAGCAGAAGACTTTCCTGAAAGATTGAATTGGTGCAGGAATATGGAAGCCATAAAACTTAGAAAGTCAAGGGTCCTATGTTTTGTATAAGTGGGGGATAGAGAGAAAAAAGGAAAAAAAATGGAGGTAAAAAATTCTCACGAAAATGGGAGACTAGTGCAGTAGAGGAAAGGGTCCAGGGGTAGGGAGGAGGAGAGGGAAATGTAAGTACTGGGAAATTAAGTTGACCAATTATATCCATGCACAAACGTGTTAATAATGAAGCCCACTATTATGTACAATTCACCAATAGAAAAAAATTTTAATTAAAAAAAATCAGTTACTAGCACTTGCTAGGGTGGGAACCCCTCAGGTAAATAGCCCTATCATCATAGTGCCCTCTAGTGTTAGGAAAGATTCTTTTTCATTCTGCCTGCATTAAGGGCTAAGCAAAGATCAGAAAAACTTCAGATCTCAGGTCCAGAGCACAGCATGCTGTTAATGTAAGTTTTGTGTGTTCACTAACAATCAAAATCACAGTTGGATGACTTCCAGTGTTAGAATTTATGTTCACTTCTCTACATACTTTTTTAGGGACAGTGGCAATAATTCTGCCTTGAGAAGTGGACTAATAACATCTAACATATTTCTCATTTTCTACCACCTCTTTGAAGAATATTCATCTGTACTTGGAATTATTACCTTTTATATCTGTCTATCCTTTCCTTAAATAATTTTTATTTCCTTCCTAGTCTAACAGTGTAATATTTTTTCTTAGGAGGGCCTCTCTTAGAGCTAAGGCTGTAGCTCAGAGGTAGAGTGCCTGCCTTGCACATGTGAGGCACTGGGTTTGATCTTCAGCACCTCATAAAAATAAATAAGATATTGTGTCCATCTATATATAAAATAAAGCATCTCTCTTTCTTTACCTTTAGCATCCTGTCTTCTTTGATTTTTGCTTTCGGTCATCCACAGTTCCTTTCTAATGGTAAATGGAAGCATATTTCTCGAACAACTCTAGTTTATCTTGTATCACCTAAGAATACTTAATTCTCATAGATTAAGACACAGGTCTTTTTAAAAATGTAATAAACTTCACCTTGGGCTTTGCAATAATTTAATTGCAATATGTCTCTACTTCAACCCCCTCCAAAGATTATATTTCCTTTATAATAAAGACCTATATTTTTGTTGTCAATAAGACTTTTAAAAACTATTTTATTGACTCTGAAGAAGGTACTTCTTGGTGTATCTTGATGGTACTTAAGACCACATATTTGGTAAAAGCATGAAAATGAATAAGTTTCGTCCCTTCAGGCTTCCTCCTTGGTCTTTAATTATAATTCAATAACCACACAGAGGGGTATGGAATTTGGGGTAACTGATCTAGTTAGATTGGCCAGGCCAGGTACAAAAACTAGTATTAGTCCTAGTAGAAGTGATTTATTATACATTGGCTAAAAAACACTGTAAAGGAGAAAAATCTCATTTCTTCTGATGATGCTTAACACATTGCTGAAGCCTAATGTTCAATTCAGGGAAAACCTGCAGCAGACACTCTCTCAGGCCCACACAGTCTACCTACTAGGATAGGTGCTGGGCTGCTCCAGTTAAATGCCATTTGCAAGTCAGCTGCTAGTTACAACATAAACAGCTCTGAAACCTCCAAAGGAAGCAAACCCACGCAGACCCAGTTTGCTAAATACTAAAACATAGAGTTGTGTTTGGTGCTTACCGCTTAGTCACATCATATGCTATTTTAGCCCCCAAATACATCTGTATTTTCCAAAATTTCTGACTCATGCACAAAAATGTTGGGATTTTAGTTTCAATACATAACACCCTTTCTTTCCTGATTAACTGAGGAAAAGACACAAGGCAAATTCAAAATATTAGTTTTATTATCCTCAATTGAATAATATGACTGTAGGCCCGCAGTCTAAATCTTAGATTAACAAACCATTACAACAGACACTAGTATGGCAGTATGTAAAAAAGTTGATGTGGAACCGATGTGAATCTGCAATGTGTATACGGGGTAAAAATGGGAGTTCATAATCTGCTTGAATCAAATGTATGAAATATGATATGTCAAGAGCTTTGTAATGTTTTGAACAACTAATAATAAAAAATAAATAAATAAAATAAAATGGTTGAGATAAAAAAAATAAAAAATAAATTTTTAATCAACTCTTAAAAAAAAAAAAGAAAAAACCCATTGTAGGGTAAAAATGTGACCCAATAGATATCACCCACCGGTCAGGGATCTCATTTCTTCTCTTTAGCAAAGAGTGAGGGAGTAAATGATTCCTATATTATTGCCTCAAATTTATTAATGAAGAATGAAACAAAGTATTCAGTTCAAGGTGAGTTAAAGGGGGTAGGTAGCTTTAGAAAGAAAGTATAAAGGAATAGAGATTTGAACAGATCAGCGCTCAATATGTTTGTGCCTTATCAGCTGAGAACCCTTGTTCATATTCCATAGACAGTTAGAATTCCTGGAGACGGGGCGGGAGGGAGAGGGTGTTTTATTGGGGGATTGGACCACATGGTACTCACCATTGAGCCAAATCCCCACCTTTTTAACTTTTAAAAATTTTGAGGCAGAGTCTCACTAAATTACCCAGGCTGGCCTTGAACTTGTGATTTTCTTGCCTAACCCTCCCAAGTCACTGGATTATAGGTGTGTGCCACTATGGCCAGCTGATGATGCACTGTCTTAAGGGACTTGATGGGTTTCTTGTGTCGGGGATATAAACTTTACACATGGGTGAAAGACAAGAAAGAATGTTGAGGGGGCAAAGTTGTCATCTGTATCATGAAATCTTGTGTCACTGGCTTACAGTTACTCCCAACCAGCGGGACCCTCAGCAGGAGAATGGAGGGAAGAGAACAAAATAAGAATATTCCCGTGTCTCTTTGCCTTTGATTGTTAATGCTTCACAACCAAAGGTTGCTGCTTTCTTTTGTCAATTCTCTACACAACTCTTTCTTTCTAGGTTTCAATAAACACAAGCACCCCACACCCTTCCTAGCATAGGAGTGGTTACAGACGTCCCACTATTACTAGTCCAAGGTTCCTGACTCCCTACACCACTCCCTGTAAATAAATCCTCTTTAAATTATCCTAGTTGAAATGTGCCATCTGCTTCCTGTTGGGGCACTGTGTGATATGCTCCCGTTTCTCAGCTGTAAAATGGGAATAAGAATAATACATGCTTCTGGAGATTGTTGAGAGAATATGTATGTACAAAAGTACAT